AATGTAACCAGTATCAGTGATGTAAACAACAGTCACATCTAGTGTTCAGATTCTGGTATTGCTTCGCAAAGCATGAGATACAATGAACCTGTCAGTTTCACCTCTCACATTTGGCTCTTTAAAGGGTCTATAACATTAATATAAAGAATAAAAAGCTGTTGCCCCACATGCATGAGGAATAGTTGACATTTGCAGATTAGGATAAAAGCACCCAAATAGCCTTTGTACAAAATGTGTTTAGAAATTAGTTACTAGATTCTAAAAAGACAAATTTCAAGCACTGGGAAGTGATAGGGTAGTTAATGATAATGTAACCTGGTGTTATTTATGACAGATAGCAAACTGAATCTGCTCACACTGAGTGTGGAGCTTTAATGGGCTGCTGGGGTCATTATGGATGGCTCAAATAGAAGAGCTGATATAAAAAACCTTCAAGATTTAAAGATTGATTACTTTTCACTGAGTATTTACAGTTTCAAGTACGACATTGGGTTGTCAAAGAACCTCCAATCAAGCACTGGGTAGCCACAATAAAAACATTCAATGCATGGAACAGCTAACCCGCAGTTTAAGATTACAACAAGCTAAATGTGATACTTTAGTCTTTTGTGAAAAATACACAAGTTCTTTTTGTTCTGTTTTTTTTTAATATAAATATTGAGTGCTATATGGTTTTTAAGTTTGGAGTACAGCTGTTTTATTTAGCCTTGATGTAATAAAATAAAATGAAATAATAATCAAAATAAATTTATAAAAACTTAAAAATATTAAAAACACTGCATGTCCTCTTTAAACATAAAATGTCGAATACAGATGATCAATTAAATAAGTATCAGGATGTTACAGCAAGCACAGGTGGAGCGAAACCTAAATAATTTGCTTTTTCAATGTAATTAATTTTTATTTAATTAAAATTTAGATCCTAGTGAATCTACTAAAAGAAAAAAAATGAAACAATTTTTGATGTTGCAGAAAGTTTTACGTGTGGTTCGATTGCTTCATATTTTCTGTGTGGATTAGTTACACACAAATGATTGTACACATTTCTAAAGCTTAGTTTATACTTGCAGATCACAATGTATGTATTTTCAGCCTTTTTAAAACATATTTCTCTTCATATGTTCCTCCTGGTCACAGGAGGGAACAGAGCCAACAGATTTTGAGTGTGTGAGTAAAGACAGGGAGCCGCAGCGTCTTTAACGAGAAGTTGAGATAAGTATTCTGGAGCTGGACCATTTAGTGCTCTAGAAAATCTTAAAATAAGTTCTAAAATCTACTGGGAGCTAATGTAAAGGGAATAAAATAAGGGGCAAGTTGAGTTAGTGTGGCCGCAGCATTTTGTATTGCTTGGAGACGTGAAACAGGTGATTTGTAAAAAGTAAAAAGGGCATTACAATAATCTAAAGACGATGACTGAAATGAATGAAAAATTGTCTGTACTTCAGAGGAGAAGACTACAGCTCTCAATGTGGAATAGTTTTTTAAATGAAAGAAAGATTATTCAGATCAATTTTATATGTGAGTTGAAGTTCAGCGAGAAATCAAATATTACACCAGCACTGGTCTTTGAAGATGAGAAAAAGGAAGCAATCACTTGACTGACTCTTGAATGTGCACAACAATTAGCTATAATCATGGCCTCAGTCTTGTTGAAGTTTAAAACAAAGCCACTATTGGAGAACCAGTCACTAATCTGTAAAAAGAAGCAACCAGTCTAGGGTAGACCGCCAATGCAGCTGGTGAATTTTAAAAGACATGTACAGAAGGACATTTAAAGCTGAATGTTATTGGCATGGAAATATTAATAAATGCCAGAAATAGAATGGCCTGTATGGTAAATGCAAGGCGAACTCTCAACTCCAAAGAGAATGAGTGATGCCAGGTAAAGGACTGAAGCCTGATAAAGGAAAATAACATTATAGGCGCCGTAAAGAGACAGAGAAACCACAAAGAAAGTTATTTCAGATAAATAGTAAGAAAACCAGGCTAGTGTTGAGTCAGAGATAGAAGAGACGTAGGCTGCAGGGGATTCCCATGATTCACTGAGTATTTCTTCTTCAGTCACCTTTCTCACTCACTATGTGTTAATAAACCTCTCTGCACTGAATCACACTTGTTATTAATCTTGAGCTCTCTTCCACAGCATGTCCTTGTCCTTTCTTCATCACCTAATCCAACCAACCCCTCCCTGAGCCTGGTTCTGCCGGAGGTTTCTTCCTCTTCCTCTTAAACTCAATTAGGTATAAACTTACTGTCATCCAAACTGTGTGTTATTCTAAGTACACGTCCCTTTATCAATTATATATAATTACTAAATTATGAAAAGAGTTGAACAACCTCACAGATTCCGCTTCATTTAGTAATTGCTGTGCTCTCAGAGAAGGCCCCACACAGTAAGCTATAGAAAGGTTTATTTGTATTGTAATTATTTCTATTGAATTTGTATTGAAATCTATGAAACAACATCTTCTTTCATCCCTATCCTAATGAGGACAAACGTGATCTTTCTCTTAGTATTTACCTTGGCTGTATGTTTGGGGTTTTATCCTGCTACAGAAGGCATTTTGGGGCCAATAAACAATCATTTATATGTCTGAAAGCATTCTTTGTTTACAGCATTTTTTCCCACCTGCTAAAAACTTTGGCACAGCACTTTATATGCACCTCAAAACAAACAAACAAACAAAAAATAATGCAGAGACATGCTTGCTTGAAGCTTTATTGTTGCAAAAAATAAACAAGAGGAAATAAGAAGTTTTCTCTGCAGAGAAAAAAAATCATAATCAGTCCTTTGGTAACAAGTCTGCTCTTATTAAAGACAAGACTGCTTTAAAGATCGCCTCAGAGACAGCCCAGTTTGTGTTGGCTGGTCATTTTGTTATGACAGAGAGAGGAAAACTATAATGCTCCAAAATGAAATGAAGTAAGAGCGAGCAAAACACAAACACCATCATACATCAGTGTGTGTTTTATGGGAATTTCATGCTCCAGCATCAGTCCAAGAATGATCAGATGTTCTTGGCGCAGACAGATGGCAGATGAGCATCACACCACATATCATCCCAGCACTTGAAAACTGAAAGGTTCAAAAGTAGAAATCACACAAATCAAAGCCCAAACACTTGTTAACAAGCTGTTATTAGTTGTATCTTTGATCACAGAAAAGATTCACACACATTAATAATTCATATTAATAATTGTGTTCTAATTTACCTCCCGATTTCATCTGAAGCAGTGCTGATTGCGATCATTATTGGGCTCTCCTGGCACCACTTTTGTGATAGTAAAACAGGTGCTCATCACTCCACAACCAATACCCTCCTAGAAGACAGAAATTGGACTAATTGGTTCAGGGCAGGCTCAAAATGTTAAGCTACTCACAGTTCTAGCAGATCATCTGACTTTAAGCACACAGCTTGAAGTCTTGAAGCTGCTGTACCTGCATTAGTTGCCCTACAAACCCATACGGAAAAGAAATAGTAAAAACATACATGATTTATATATGATTTACTCATGAAAGTGGCCACTTTCTCATTACTTTCATATATTTTTTTTGTAAGTATCCAAAACATACAAGTTTCATTATATAATTTTTCAAGGGATCTTATATGTGTTTTCACTCTTGTATGCTTTTCATACAAGTTTCATACAAGACAGATACAAACTTTATAAGATTTATATATATCTTTTCCATATGGGAATGCATATGAAAGAGCAGTGATGTTCAGAGTGATACATTAGATTAAATCAACACACATTGTTTTTTTTTAATTAATCACTGATCCCAACAAAGAGAGGAAATACAACAGGCGTAAACATTTGACCACACAGCATTCAATTAATTTTCAAAAATGTACTGTCACTGATATGCTGCTAAGCTATGGTGGTGAGTTTCAAAGCAGAGCCAGGGAGAACCCAATGAGAATCAATAAGAGAATGGATGATCAAATTGGAGTTAAATTCTTATCAATTCTCATGCCAACACCTGACAAATGATAAACAAAATACCTTTGATGCATCAGTTCCTCCAATCCAACTTTCTTTTTTGCCAGTCAGCCTCTGAATCTCACGGTACTCTTTGATGTTGCGAACTGATGCAAGATGTGCCCTCATGGACTTGCAGGATTTCTTCAATGGAGAAAGAAAGCGAGCAGAGGTTTTCAAAAATAATGAGTATGTAACAGTTAAAAGGATGTGGTTTAATCGGGTATTGAAGACAATACAAATAAGTTACCTCAGCATCAGCCCAACTCGCGACTGTTGAATTAAAGAAAAAGCAGCGATGACCGTATTTAGTCCAACCACCAGGACAACAAGGGGAACGAGGGGACCTCTTGACCACGTGACTCTTGGCTGGGAGTAAATGAATAGCTGTTCATGTGTCTCTGGCTGATATCTTATTTTGTATTATGTTTAATAATTATACAAATAATAACTGAAAAGTTGCACAAGTAAGATTTGACACTGAAACAAGTTAAGTGATTGACAGAGTACAGGTGTGATGAAGGCTCTATACTACAATGGCGGCTACACTTGATGATAATCACAGAGTGTGTGTCGGTCAGAATGTGCTTCCTATGCTTATGCAACCAAATGGTTGAGCACATAAGGCTTTTTCCATTGCTTTTTTTCTTGGTGTGGTACTTAAAGGGTTAAGTATGGCCTTTATAACAGCCAGACACTTGAAAACATCCTTTGTGTTACAAACATTGAGGTGATTTTTTGTCTGCTAATGATGACAATAATTATTGAAAATCTGGAAAATATTGTTCACCTGGGGGCATCAATCCCTCTACTTCATCTCTGGCCTCTGCACAGTGAAGACACAGACAAATTACCACCAAAAATATTGATTTTGACCATCAATTTTCTGCATATGATAATGATAAGAAAGGTGTATATTGTATTATTCATTTATATGTTTCATTAAAATTATATACATGATAAAAAATTATACAATGATACTCACCAGCAGCCGTGGTTAGAGCCACCATTGCACAGAGAAGTGCAGACACAGTTAGCAGCTTCATGGTGATTTTTAGTATCTTTGAACAAAACAGATACAAAATGAATAACAATTCATTAAAAACAGGACAGAAGAAAACCAACTGAATACCTTTTGTAGAATATTTTCTATTTCTTTTCATTATTAGCCAGAAACTACAACCACCAATTGTGAATGCTGAGCTGCTCTAGCACCAGCATTTATATAATGTTACATATATGTTTAACTGGAATGTAACACTGAAAATACTAACACATATATTTGTCAGTCATGCCTGCCAAACCTTCATCACATTTCTTTCTTTTCCAACCAAAACCAGAATAATTGCCTCACACCTAATTTGATTTCCTACTTACTTAATTTCACATACTGACTGAACCTCAACAGAGGTTTTATGAACACAACTACAGAACAATTAGTCTTATTAACCATGTTTTGAGTTCTAATATTGCATAATAAAATACCCCTCCTGTTTAAAACAGCCAATAATGTGTTGCCGGCTCTTGAGCAGCGCATTGTGACTTTTTGGACCCATAATTGTCGTAAAAAAAAATGAAGCCACAACATTTACTGTAATATGGGAGTGTTTTCAGAACCATCTTCTA